CATAAGGAAAGACAGAAAGAGAAGGTGAAAGAAGGAAAAAACAAAGAATAACATAAGGAAAGACAGAAAGAGAAGGTGAAAGAAGGAAAAAACAAAGAATAACATAAGGAAAGACAGAAAGAGAAGGTGAAAGAAGGAAAAAAACAAAGAATAACATAAGGAAAGACAGAAAGAGAAGGTGAAAGAAGGGAAAAAACAAAGAATAACATAAGGAAAGACTGAAGAGAAAGTGAAAGAAGGAAAAAACAAAGAATAACATAAGGAAAGACAGAAAGAGAAGGTGAAAGAAGGAAAAAACAAAGAATAACATAAGGAAAGACAGAAAGAGAAGGTGAAAGAAGGAAAAAATAAAGAATAACATAAGGAAAGACTGAAGGGAAAGTGAAAGAAGGAAAAAACGAAGAATAACATAAGGAAAGACAGAAAGAGAAAGTGATAGAATGATAAAAACAAAGAATAACTTAAGAGAAGATGATAGAAGGAAGAAACAAAAAATAATATGAGGAAAGATAGAAAGAAAAATGATAGAATGATAACACAACAATAACATTAGGAAAGACAGAAAGAGAAAATGATAAAGAATAGACAATGGAAAGATAGAAGAGAAGATGGAAGAAGGAAAAACAAAGAATATCATAAGAAAAATAGAGAGAGTATAATAGAATAATAAACGAAGAACAAAATAAGAAGTGAAAGAAGGAGAAAATGAATAAGCGCGTGCGGGGCCATTACGTCATCGTGTAGAGAACGTGTGTCAACTTAAAACGAAAAGGGTTATAAGGTAGTGAACAGGACGGGTGTCTGACGTCAATTTGCATCGTTAGAGGACGTGAACGCCGTCCTCGTCCACACAAACGAAAAGCCCCTATTGATGAAGTGGGTTCACGTCCCCGCCTCCTTAAAAAAAAAATCATTATTCAGAAGAAAAAAGCAACAACAAAAAAGTCTGTGCACATCATTTGTTTTGCCATACAGTGCATCAGTACACAGAGTCACATAGCACAACACCAGTGACTAAATAGGCTTGGTCAGCTATAATTAGTATGGCAGCCATCTTGGAAAAAATTGCAAAAAAAAGAAAGAAAAGCAAAATAGTAAGTAGTGAAGCCCTAGCCCTGCCTCCTCCTTTTGTTAAAGTCCGGACGAGAAACATGTTATTTTTGTTATTTGGCCTTATTTGATGACCAGTCATAAAAGCCTTATTAATTTAAATGGAAGCGGAGATGGATAAACAGAAAGAGACAAAGAGGGAAAGAAAGAAATAGAGAGAGAGAGAAAGAGAGAGAGAGAGTGAGAGAAAGGGGAGTGATCGAGAGGGCGAAAGAGAGAGAGGGAGAGGGGGGGTGAGAGGGGAGAGCAAGCGTGTGTGTGAGAGAGAAAGAGAAAGAGAGGGAGAGAGAGTAAAAAAAAGGAGAAAGACGGAATCAGAATGTAAGATATGAAGACTGAGAATATTAGAGAAAGGGAGGGAAAGAGAGGAAAGACAGAAAGCGATATATAGGAAGATAAAGTAAGAGAAAGATATAACGATTTGAGAGACAGGGGAGATGAACAGAGGGGGCGAGGAAGAGAGAGAGAGAGGTGGGGGGGGGGTGGGGGAGAGAGAACATAATAGAAAGAGACTGTGAGCAAATAAACGTGAGATGGATAGAGAGGGAGAGGGGAAAGGCAAAGGAAGAAACAGTGTAAAGGTATCGATCAGGAAAAGTTTTGCTCTGGAAATACCAATAAAGCAGCAAAGTATTGAAATTATGTAGCGAAAACAAACTTGATAGCTATGAAGAAACCATAGGTAATTCATTATAGGCATGTTTTATTAATACATTAACTTTTTAGAACTTAAGCATTATTTCATAAATATATCACGACATAAAAAAATTCATCATATAGAATTAAGATTAAAATGTTTAACAACGAGTTTGAAGTAAATGATATACCATGACATAACATAATCACATATAAAATTAAGATTAAATTGTTTGACAACGAGTTTGAAATAAAAGATATACCATGACATAACATAATCACATATAAAATTAAGATTAAAATGTTTGACAACGAGTTTGAAATAAATAATATACCACGACATTACATAATCACATATAAAATTAAGATTAAAATGTTTGACAACGGGTCTGAAATCAATCAATCGAAGAAACAGAAAAAAATCATAGGATTCTCTATAGACACCCTAACGCTTCCCATATCGTTGTTCATTTCGTTATTCAATGAAATAGTTCAATGCATTGTATTCTAATGGGTTTTTTTTTCACTCATAAATTGTAAATTCAATTGGGTTCAGAACAGTAGAAATGATACAATCCATTAAAGCCCCACTGCACTACTAGTAGCTACTTGCCCCCTCTATATAGCAAACAATGCCTAATCGGTGACCATTGGTCCCCATGGCCCCCTTTTTCTTATGCTAATTGAAAGTTGATTTGATGAGATAACCACCTGTCAGTGACCATGCAGGGAGGTCTAATCCCTCCCGGTCAAACTAGTTTAGAGGGACTTTAAAGACACCCTGACGTATAACATTTCCGTGGTCTAATCCCTCCCGGTCAAACTAGTTCAGAGGGACTTTAAAGACACCCTGACGTGTAACATTTCCGTGCTCATGTTATTATTCAATGTTATTCTATTTGTAATAGGAAATCGTTGAGAGGGGCTTTAAAGACACCCTGACGCTTAACATTTCCTTGTTCATGTTATTATTCAATGTTACTCTATTTGTAATAGGAAAGTGTCTATGCCGCATATCCTTGATCGTTACCACCACTCCTTACGTGATATCATAACCATCTCAGTGGGACACATACATTATTGTAGTATCGTTGAATCAAATTAATGCATTGAATTTGAATGGACGTTTTTTACTCATAACTTGTATATTCAAATTGTTCAGCCTTACGACTGCTATTTTGAAGTTTTTGTTTATAACAACCCACATTAAATCAAAGTTAATCATTCATTAACCAGATCAAATCAAATAAATATAATCAATACACACTATCAGATAGTTTCTGCTATTTTTACAGTACATCACAATCTTGATAATATTAAAATTGAAATATGATGGAAAACGGTTGCAATTCATTCATTCATTAATTCATAGTAACATTTATCTCCTTCCACTTCTCTGAAGTAATAAATTCGTACGTACAGCAAAGCGTAATTATCACAGATTTTTAACATAAGAAAGACAGCGTAGATCATGAAGTATGGACGAGTGTCCGATACGCTTTAGAACAATGCAGTTCATATTATATTAATACATTCTTCGTTTTCTTTATTTCATTTACAGAAAACGACTTTACTATATGAATAATTCCTTGATTTTAGAACAAAAATAAATTCGTTTTATGGAACACTTCTCAATAGTATATAATGATAACAATATTACATGTATATAGCGCCTTTTCATTAGATACAAAGAAAATCTTGCGAACTAACTAAAAAAAGTTGTAAAAATAAAACTCAAGTAAATAGGACTTTGGCAGGCTGTTCATGCCACTGATTGCTGTCACCATTAACTGGCATTGGTCTATAAAAGGACAGACAAATCATGGTCACAAATCTACAGAATTTCCATTTTTTGATAATTCATTATTGAAGGGAAAATAATACGTAAAGATCATGAGTGTAAGAGCAAACAGTGGCATGAAGAGCCTATCATAGTTAAATCCAACTTAAAGTCGACCTTAGTCTTTGTGAATCACCCCCTTGGTTCAATACAGACATATCTTGCCTTAGTTGTGACGTGGTCGAGTGATTTAGGCACTTGACTTAAAATTCACAGGTCGTGGGTTCGATCCCCACACGACACCAATGTCTTTTGGCAAGGCATTAATCTACCTTTGCCACTCCATACCCAGGAGAGAAATGGGGACCTGGTAGGATGACGAAAGCGTATGTGTTTTTAATTGCCATTTGCCCTCACGGTGGCCATATGGTAGGACTACTCCACAAGAAGTGGAGACGGTGCACATTGTGCGTGAATGAATCCGATGATCAGTGTAATAATATTTGTAAATCGCTTAGAGACGGTATTTCGTTTAAGGCGCCCTATATATCCAGTTTATTATTATTATTATGATTATTATAATCGATAAAGAATACAATAGCCAGTAATACAAAGAATACAGTCGCAAATTCATTAGAAATTTGACAAAGAGATGATTCAATCGATATAGTTTCCAATACAATTCTTATGCATTGACAAATATATATATATATAAAAAGGAAGAATATAGGAGATGACTTCTATACCACTAAAATAAAGTATAAGATAAAATGGTTTTCAAAAGGAAGAGACATACGGAAGAATAAAGTTCAATACTCGACATAGAGGAGGGGTAGGGGATGCACCCCCGAGAACTTTTAATTTCAAAAAGTTCGGCAATTGTCACCTAATTTTCGGGCACCGAAAATATGTAATATACTTTGATGATAAAATAACAATTTCACCGCAATAACGTGTATCTACATTCTGCTTGCTCGATTCCCTCGCTCGCATACTTGAGACACTGGAATGTTGAACTTGAGCTAACCTAGGATAAATATGCCCGCCACTAAATTACGGTAGTTCGACTCTATATTGCCCCCCCCCCCCCTGGACTTTAGCCATCCACGTCAATCTCTAACCGAACTCTCAACTTCAACGCTGGACCCAACACTATACCTCACCCTTACCCTACCTAAAGAGGTAATATAGCCCGGAGCAATAGTCGGCGGAGAAAACGCTCCAATACACCTATAAGGCAAAAAAAAAAACATGTTTAGCGTCCTGTTTTTTCGAAAAAATAGGAAGGAGGAGGCCCTTTTTTTTCTTCTTTTTTTTCTTCAAAATGGCTGCTCAAAATTGCCGCTCGGTACATTTTCCCTGACAGTCGGGCTATTTTTCAAGATGACCGCCTACATTTTTTTTTTTAAATCAGAAATAAATCCATTTTAGCAGTGTTTTTCATGTTTGTTTTCTTTAAACATTTTTTTTTTTATAAATAAAATAGGAGGCGCCCCCAAAAAGGAAGCGGGCGGGGACGCTAAACATATATATTATTTTAATGGCCTAAAACCTGCTTGCGCGTATGCATCAAAGGTCAAGTATAGTTATCTTCTTATGTTAATCTTCAAAGGGCTATATACAGCCTATCACGAAGACCTGTGGTAAGATTTACTAGTTCTGTATGCAGGCATCCGCTAAAAAACGGAATGTACACCTTACTCCCTACGAGAAGTGTAGCTTATTTTGAAAAATAATCAATGACTCCATTACTGAAGGTGATTTCATCACCCCTATATCAATTTATTCTTCTTCTTTCATTCAGATGGAGCTAACAAGTTTGTGACGTCATTCTCTGACGTTTCTCTTGTTGACTCTGGCAGCTTTTTCCTCCCATATGTGGATGTCTTTCAACCAGGAAATAGCAGGTCTGCCTTTTCTTCGCTTGACTTAAAGTGTTTCTGGTATAAGTGACTTTCCGAGACCAGCCATCCACGTTTTTTTTTTTTTTTTATTAACCATGGAATAATGTTCCTTCCTTATTGGCAGAAGACATTTTATTTATGGCAGACACTCTGTATTTAGAGACAAGTTGTCATCGTAAGGAAAAAAAAATCGTGTATATTTTTTTTCTTCATCTTTTTGTATATGTGCTGTAGTGACCAATACATGTATTAACATATAGATAGCTATATTTAGTTTTGATTTAAAAAACTGATTAACTTTCGAATGATGTAATTTAATGATGTAATTTGTATTAACCCTGTTTTGACTTGTACTACTTCTGTTTGGAGACATACAACACTTAATGAAACAAAAAGTAGGTCAGTTCACTTGTGTTTATCCACAATGCGATATGACGTCATTCCTACTGCCTGGTAACTCAAAACAAACAAAACTAAATACAAACGACCCCCCCCCCCCCCTCCAAGAAAAGATATATTCGCAGTAAAATGAAATGACTTAAGCGAACGTCCGATGTACTTGTGTCGTAGCTGGCGCTGATGCTGATGCAGTATATCAGTGCTATTGATTAGGGGAGTTTGACCAACCCGGTTCGAGTTTGGCTCAATATTTCAAAACTGCTTTGCAGGGCGAGCATAAAACAAAAGAATATACGCCATAGTGTGACCAAGTGAGACCAAGTTGGCTAAACACTGTGTAAAGGTGGCTATGCGCAGTAAGATAGTTAGAATTGGATGGCCAGTTGGCCAAGTTGAAGAAAGGGTCCTAGGTCTGTTTATGTGCGTTCACTGCCAGCTACGACATAGGTCTGATAAAACACATAGGACGACAGGTGAAAGGTCACCAACGCAGGTATTAACCCGTTTACTACACATTTATCTAATCCCCATAGACTTAATACAGACAAAACCCGGTTCCAGTAAACAGCGGGTAAAAAAGGTAACACAGAATTAATTTTCAAATATATTTCAGTTTTCCATGCCAAGGTTTTTGTCATTCTGACCCCATTTACCACATCCGGGCCCCATTACACAAAAGTTGCTATCGATTGCAATATGACAATGGCTAATCAAAACAATCGTTGCATGCAAACGTTCTTCAAAGCCATTACCCAATCAGAATCGTTGTTTCGAATTCGCAATTGATTGCAAACCTTTGTCTTCTAGAGTCCTGGTGTGAGCGAGGCTCTATAAGCCATTTCGGATAAAGTACTTGTGGAAATGACCCCCGAATATTCACAGATCATTTTAACATGGATAAGACCACTGCGTGCATTTTAAAATAGTCACTGTTTAACTGTTGAAGGTGCTCCAAGAATACCTCTTGCAAAGAATACTTCCACCTGGCTTCATAGAATGTCCGCCGGTGCATAAATGAAATAATAATTACATAACTTTCATGAACTTGACTCCAACACTTTAGTGCTCACGTCATATTCGCTCGTCGTCCAGGTTACTGGTTCTAAACATCAAAGCCTGCGCATGAGGTTCACCAAGAAATTATTCAAGCAACGGGTTGCATGGAGCAAGGCAAATCCAGTGTGTGGCGTAAATATTCACAACTGAATGATACACGCCGTTAAAACTAAAACAACTGCAACAATCGACTGCTGATGTGATCCCCATGCCATTGTTGAGCACAGACTTGTTAGGAACCAGGGCACCGTTTCACGAAACCGTCATAACTACAAGTTCACCGACATCCTATTGAAATGAGTGTATTAAGTTTAACACGCGTTTCAATGGGTTGTTGGTGAACTTGTACTTATGACGGTTTCGTGAGACGCTGCCCGGCATCCTTCGTTGACAACTTGGCCAGTATATGACGTCACACGTCGGTAATCTCTTTAAGCACATGTTACTTTTTGCATTTAGCAACCGTGTTCCATTCTTCTTTTTGGACGTCGACCGCTATGTGGGTGAACAGGAGGTTAAGGGTCACGTTCGCGTTATAGCGTGTATGGTTAATTCCATCCCACTCCATACGCCTAGCGAAGTGTTGATATAAACAAAACCTGCAAGATACAAATACAAACAAACAAACACAAAGTGTTATTAATTAATCGTATGCATCGCACCAAAATGTATGTATTCTTATTTTCATTCCGGAACTGGATGTCAATTCAAGTTTATACTTAAGACGATCCCTTTTCTGTATATACCATGTCATTATCATACATCTAAAGTTAAAAGAGTGCAAATATAAATATGTTGATGTAATTATGGAATGAATAAACTTCAAATCGAATCAAATTAAACGAGACAATAGGCAGGGGCGGGGCTTTGGGGTTGAAGCCTTTAATTACAATGCATTTGTATGAATTTGATAGATTCATTATTTGTGTAAAATACACCGAATATCAAGTAAGTAAATAAAAAAACATAGAAATGAACAAATATAGATATAGATAGATCGAAAGTATAACGGTCCATATACTTAAAATAAGAAAAGAATGAATGTGTGTTAAGACGAACAAATACATGAATAGAATAAATTTGTCGCCATTTTGTTTACCTTTCTGGAGCGATTTGACTTGCCGACTTCTTCTTATGTTTGAGAGTCTTATAGTAGCCTTCCCCCGAGGCGCGGTAAATTTTATACTTCAATTTATTTACTCTTGACCGTAGGTCGTCATCTTCTGCTCCCCATCCCCAATAAACGTTGGAGTAACCGTTAGAGGACTTCATCTGTTCCGCTGTTAACCCCACCACGCCGCCAAACAAACCTCCATACATGAGTCTGCAATGAGGGAAATGGATCAGCGAATTAATGTGTGTGTAACAAACCGAGGACCCTCATAATGACCATACATTCACTTGGAGGACCACATGCAGACCGAGGACGCCTTGTATATGGTATAAATGTTCATGGCCTGTCATTATGGGGAAGGTTCATACAAGATTGAACCTTTGAACCATCTCGCGTACATGTAGATGCGCGTACGTGTTACAACTCCATTTCAGTATGCTGTTTTATAAGGGTAGTTTTCCGACTGCGACAATAATACGATATCATTGGTTAAAGTCTACCAATCACAAAACTATGTTTTGCTTTTCATGGAAGTTTTTCCATGTTGATATATATACTGTAAACACGTTGTGAGCTTTAAATGTATCCTTTACAAACTTAGAGATATTGCAGTAAAAAAAACAACACTCCGATTGAACGGTAAAACGTAAAAGCACTTTCTTCTTCATTGGGGCACGGCATTCCCTTTTTCCTGCCAAACCTCTACAGCCTCGTTTAGATAAGATGCGGCAAAACCACGGAAGTTCGATTTTTTTTATTTTTTATGATGACGTCAATCGTACTACGCGTTACATTTCTGTATCGTAGCTCAGTGAAAATGCGCCGGACCATTGATGCGCGCAGTTGCCATTCATTAGCACTTTAACAAACATATCTACGGTGGATTTTTTTTTCTGGCGGTTACCGGCTCATATCTGAACAATACACCCCTTCACGGTTAATGCCGCCGTTTTAATTTGCGAGTAAACATTGCGCCATCAATGTCTTCAGATGCGCATGTATTGTTGCGTCACTAACTGCGCTGTGCGCTCACATAGTGCCATGGGCGCCATTTTAAATTACGAGTAAACATGAGTTGTTTACTCGTAAATGAAAATGGCGCCCATGTCGGCGCATGCGCACTATTGTAACAGTGAAAGGGTGTATTAAGCCTTGAACTTTGAACTCACTTGAAGCCCAGCTCCTCCGCGTAAGCACATAAATGCCTCGGCATTTCATCGCAGCCATACCAGTTTGTCGCCCTCATCGGTATCTGGTCAATATCATGAAAGATGACGCAATCCCAAGCACCAAAGTTCGTTGACTCCATGTAACCGATGTTTTTCATGAGACCACGGTTAAAGACAAGATCGTTGGTCTATGAAAGAAAAATGGAAAACAAATATGGAATTTAGCTCGAAATAAACACAACTCATTAAAAGGAGAATTAAAATTATAAAAAATGCATATGTAGTGTATAGAATAAGAAGGGGGAGTGGGTGAATAAACCATACATAAAACAGACGCCGTTTTACAAGCGCACACGTTCGCATCCTACCGGGTAGCGTAATTTTTTCCCACTTGAGCTCGGGACGCCCAGTATGAATTTATTTGCATACAGCCAATCAGAGCTCATCTTGTCATTAACAAGCATTACGCGTGCTAAAGATGCGCGGCGAAATTCAAAACTGTGCGTAGCTCTGGGCTTCACACACGTACACACAGCTCCTTGCCTATACCAGCATGCATGGTGTGCGTGCATAGGTATAGGCTCGTCAATGTTTCATTTCGGCTCTAACATCTTTACCTTTAGCAAATTTATCTACAAATATCAGCTTATCAAATTGCTGTGAAAAACTGTTATTTAGCACTAAGTTACAATAATAATAATAATAATAATAAAATTAATAATAATAATAATAATTGATTCTTATTGAGCGCTACTACAGACAAACTGATCAGAACGCTATACAACAGAAAAGAAACATACAAAACATAACAATTAAACAAGGAACAGTAATTAAGATATTATGAACGAAAAGAAAATTTAGCTACTCAAAATGTACATTATGGATTCAAAATGGAAAGAGTTGGGTTTAAAGTTTTTTTTTAAAGTGTCTTCTGTACTACATAGGCGGGGGTGTTGTGGTAGAGTGTTCCAGGTGGATGGTCCAGCATAAGAGAATGAGCGTTCGGCTGCCTTGGTGTTGGTGCGTGGGATCAGTAATAGTGTCTGATCGTTCCGTGAACGCAGATGGTATCAATAAAGGATAGGCCTTTCTCGTCAGCGAAGCCACTATACACACACAGCGCCTTGCCTATATCAGCATGCATGGTGTGCGTGTATAGGCATAGGCTTGCAAATGTTTAATTTCGGCTCTAACATCTCTACCATTAGCAAATTTATCTACAAATATCAGCTTATCAAATTGCTGTGAAAAACTGTCATTTAGCACTAAGCTACAGTTACTCTATCAATCAAGAATAGGCCTTTCACGTCATCGAAGCCACTATATACACACAGCGCCTTGCATATATCAGCATGCATGGTGTGCGTGTATAGGCATAGGCTTGCAAATGTTTAATTTCGGCTCTAACATCTCTTCCATTAGCAAATTTATCTACAAATATCAGCTTATCAAATTGCTGTGAAAAACTGTCATTTAGCACTAGGTTACAGTTACTCTATCAATCAATGATAGGTCTTTCTCGTCATCGAAGCCACTATATATTATAGGGACTCATTTCTAAAGATTATACGGTTGAGAGTTTATTATACAGGTAGATCTAGACTAAAACACCTCTAAAAGGCTCTAATAATATCAGCTTTATTTTGTACTTCTTTTATTGCAGGACTTCTTACCTGAGAACATCACAGCAATTTCTTAAGCTAATATTATTAGAGTCTTTTAGAGGTGTAGATCTATAATAAATGTTTCAACCACAAAATCTTTAGAAATTAGTCTCTATATAGTGGCTTCGATGACCGTGACGATAAGGCCTATCCTTGATTGATAGAGTAATTGTAACATAGTGCTAAATAACAGTTTTTCACAGCAATTTGATAAGCAGACATCTGTAATAAATTTGCTAAAGGTAGAGATGTTAGAGCTGAAATGAAAAATTTCAAGCCTATGTCTCTGCACGCACACCATGCATGCTGATATAGGCAAGGCGCTGTGTGTACGTGTGTGAAGCCCAGAGCTTCGCACAGTTTTGAATTTCGCTGCGCATCTTCAGAATGCGTAAAGCTTGTTATTGACAAGAAGAGCTCTGATTGGCTGTATGCAAATGAGTTCATACTGGGGGTCCCGAGCTCAAGTGGGAAAATAAATTACGCTACCGGGTATGCCTGAATGGAGAGTGAAAAATGTCTTGCCAAAGGACACTAGTGTCACACTGGGGGTCGAACTTGCGACATTGGCATTGCAAGTCAAGACGTGTTTAAAGAAGGTTGAGTTCTGGGAAGAGGTGAAAAATAATTTGTGAGGCTGATTTATATAATTAATAAAGTGGACTTCAACTGTAATTCCGAGCTTTTGTTTTCATTTATATTTGAACTTGTCGTCTTCAACTCATTAACTGGCCCACCACAATAACGCTCACAAATTATTTTGTCACCTCTTCCCAGAACCCAACCTTCTCTTTAAAGGTAGTAAGTCCCATTTGCAGGCGAAAAAAAAATGAAAAAGTGAAATTCCAACTGCACTTGAAAAATAATACTAATTTAGAACTTCTCTAAAAAAGGTGGGGCTTTAAAATGTCTTCAAGTGGGAAAATAACGACTATTAGTTGTCAAATCGACTTTAGGGCTATAGAGCCCAAAAGTAATAGTCTTGATTTTCAGACAATTGTACCGAATGGTCATACGTTTTATGCTGCGCAAAGATTCAATCAGTTTAATCTTGGCCATCACAAGAAGTGGGTTATTGATGTAGACAAATGCTCATGTACCCTTTACAATTCTTTTCATGTATGTTATTACCAAAGAAGAAAAAAGCCAGTCAGTCAATCAATAGAGTCTGACAGTGAAGTCTAGCAAGTAAACGGGTTTCCTTGCATAATTTGAATATGAGAACACTGCTAACGTTTAAATTTCACAGATAGGACATATATGACATATTCATAATTCCTGCAAAGTTCTACAGCATTTGAGGTTGGCTGCAAAAGGGACATAGTACCTTTAAATCTACTAATGAGGTAGCCTTACCTGCTCGGCCACGAAGATGCCGAACTCGAGGTTTTGAAGCATTAATAGGTGATGGAGATTACGTAATAAGATTGCGAGATGTTGTATCCTGTCCCGATATGGGATGACGATGGCCACCTGTATGGAATATAGAGAGCATAAGAGAGGGAGAGAGAGAGGGGGGAGAGAGAGAGGGGGAGATGAGAGAGATGAGAGAGAGAGAGAGAGAGAGAGAAGGTAAGAGAGAGATGAGAGAGAGATGAGAGAGAGAGATTAGAGAGAGAGATGAGAGAGAGAGGGAGAGAGAGAGATGAGAGAGAAGGAGATAGAGAGAGAGATGGGAGAGAGAAGGAGAGATGAGAAAGAATATATATATATCAACTGTTAATCCATATAGAACAGCTTAATAATCTTGGGGGTGTTTCACAAAGATTCTAAGTGAAACTTAACTCTGAGTTGGACTTAAATATTCATGGAGAGGCATTTGTAGCCTTATAATGAAAAATATTCAAAAGCAAAAAATTCAACTATTTTAGACTTGTCATATAAAATTTATTCCACATCAAGAACATGAAATTTCCCATGATAATAGAAAATATGAATGATTTTAATCAATATGTTATGCCTTTTTAACATAACTTTACAAAATATTTCAAGGATGCTAATGGCTTTCCATAATTGTTAAGTCAAACTTAATAGAGACAAGTTCAACTTAGGATCTTTGTGAAACACTCCCCTGGTCCTCTTTTGACTACAACTGTGTAACCATGGACTACAATGAAATGTTCACTTCACCTGATGAAGATAAATCGACAGCGCTTGTGAAGTTCAATCAATTCCTCTTATGTGTTCCATCTAGTGTCATGAAATGCTATATGTCTCAAATTAAATCGTTGTTCTGTATATATATATATATATATATATATATATATATAGAACAAATAATCTAATTCAGATAATCCTCCGTCACGGCAATATACAAATAATATATATAATAATCAAAACAATTGAATACAAATCCTTGAGAGTTCTTTTCTCTTAAAAAAACTCTTAAGTATTTTGTTCTTGATTTATTCAAATTATGATACATACATTTAAAGAGAGAGAGAGAGAGAGAGAGAGAGAGAGGGGGAGAGAGAGGGGGCATGGGGAGGTCATTCATTAAAATGGATTCAATTCATTGAAACAGAGTCCGCACATTGGATTATTGATAGACACCAGTATGCGATATTCAGAGTAGAAGAATGAATATGCGTAGAACTTATTCCCGTTCAAAAGTTTCTTACCATCATAGTGGATAGCGCGGGCGGTGATCCTGGGGGGACGGGGGGGGGGGGACACGTCCCCTCTCAATTTTTGAAAAGTGCAAAAAAATAATTGTATATCAAATATTGACTAAAGACTGCAACAAACTTTTTAAGCCTCTGGAAGGCCCAAGAGTGCAGCGTTTAGACATCTAAAAATGCAAAAATCTTCTCGCTCGGTAGCCACTTCCCTCGCATAATAGTCTTCAGAGTGTTCAAGTAAATATTGTAGAAAAGTGAAGTGTGAAAAGGGTATATTGCTTTTTTTGTACACTATTGTTTTGCGAAGGAATGTAATTTGTTAATACAACAAAGCTTCAAAAACCTGTGAGGGGGATAGTCACTTCCGTCACCGTCACCCCTCTCGTTCACTATGCTCCCTCGCACTGGCGTAATGATGGGGGGAGCTTAGGGGCAGTTGCCCCCGAATAAAATTCAAACGTGGTTTATTTCTAATGAGATACCAGTGATTAACAAATGTTGCTGAAATGGCATGGTTTTCCCTGGACTTCCGGGGGCTCTGCCCCTTGGACCCCACCTGGTTACTCATCTGACCGTAATTAAGTGCCTAAAAATCCTGAACTTCCGGGGGCTCTGCCCCCTGGACACCCCCAGGGGCCCTGAGGTGAGCCACTGGTTGCTTATCTGACCGTAAGTATATGCCTAAAAACCATGAACTTCCTGCCCCCTGGACCCCAACAGAGGCCCTAAGGCGGGCCCCGAATGCTCATCTATCCGTTATTAAATGCCTAAAACCCCGCCACATGACCCTCCGCTGGGGCTTTGCCCCTTAAAGATAAACTCCAGTACTGGTAAAAAAAATAAATAATTCTCACAGAATCAAACGAAACTTACACTGATGTTCAAGATTACAAATAAATGACATGTGCCAAACAATTTTGGAAGAAAATGTATACTGGCTGAGTAATGAGCATAGAAATACAAGGAAATCAAGGTAGTACTAGCCCCGACACCATGTGTGTTGTCCCATATATAGCTTTCTATGTGAGTGCTTGTTACTTTACCAAGACTCGGTCAAATTTATTATGATTTTGATGACTCCAGAACCTTGCAGTGCTCACCAATACTTACATGATCAACTGTTTCTGATCCTTTCCACACCTTTTCTTTCACAATGCAATCGCATTACCAGTACTAAAGTTTATCTTTAACCTCAAGCCAATTTACGGTTAACTTACTTCGCTCGTTTTGTTCTACTTGACCGAAAACATTTTAGCCCCCCCCCCCCCTCCCCCCAAAAAAAGTTTTTGCTCATTACTACACTGCTCCCCGTTCCTAGCATTTCGTCCGTCCCCCCCCCCCCCCGGTCATGAAAAGAAATCGCCGCCCCTTACGTATAGACAAAAAGACAAAGATTGATAAAGATAGAGAGGGAGAGACACAAGGAGAGGGATAGAGAGAGAGAGGGAGAGAGAGAGAGAGAGAGAGAGTCACCATGTTTAAACATAGACTCTCTTCCCCACAAGAAATTTAATCTAGACAAACTTGAAAATCCATTCATATCAGTCAGTTTTGAACACGATGCTGCCTATCCGATTAAAATGCAATTGCATGTGTAATTAGTCTTTAGTGATGTCATCTTCGACACGTGACACCGCACACAATGAAATACATACACTCAAAATGATAAACTTGTGAGCTATAAACCTCGCAAATTGCGAGGCCAATTATGCTGAATTTATCTTCTGATATATATGATCTTTTTTTTTTAGGCGATTTTCCCGATTCCCTTTTTTTCCTCCTACCGGCGATATTACTATTAGGATGAAAGGAAAAAAAAACCAACAACTACAAAACAACAACAACATACAAATAACGATATAATTATGTTCTCATGGTAACTGGTTCTTATGTGTACATGGTGATACGAAAGCAAGCTTTGTTTCGTATTTTTCGAATCCTACGTTATTCAATTTGGTTTGTTTGTTTGAAATATCCAAAATATACTCTCTAAAAAAATCGAGTGATCACCGACGTGACTCCTCTGGAGAGTGAAAATGTAGTGAAAAAAAATTGAACATTCACTCTTTTCTTCTTAGAGAACATTCTAAAATCAATCGATATTCACTCCTAAACAAGTGATCACCGACGTGACTCCCGGGGGGGGGGGGGAGTGAAAATAGAGTGAACATTCACTCTTTCCTTCTTAGAGAGTACACAAACATAATGTCAGACATCAGCTAATTATTTTTAATCGCGCAAAGAAAAAACACATAATTATGGGAAATTAACATTCACAGGACGCAGGGGAACGCCATTATGAGCGAGTTGCTAAATGTCGATGGCGCCCTCAAGTTAGACAAGAGGTTATGCGGGTGCAATGCAAGATCGAGTACCCTCCGGTAACTTTGTCTCAGATTCTGAAGCAAAATCCACGATTTAGCTCATGTTGCAATGATAATTATAAATCTTTAGGTCATTCAGGAACCCAATGACTTTTACAAGCCGATCTCTTGTCCCATAATCAAGATATTTGTGATTGGAAATCGATATCAAATTTTGTGTTTTCCTAACGGTTTTCATAACACTACAGTCTATTGGGGAAAACGAGTGAGGTAAAACTGGTCACTCAATTTATTTTATTTTTTTGAGGCACTTCATGATCATTTTGAATCACATTTTTCAGGGCTTCAATATCATACCATTTCACAGACACTGATAACACGTAGGGCCATGCATCTCAGATTTAACATTTCTAAATTTAAATTAAAAAATTTAAATTTAAATTAAATTTGCTCTACTAATTTACTCTAGCAATTTTTTGCCCCACTATTTACCATGATATCAAATACGTCGATAATGTACCAGCCGTGAAGGAGACATGAACGTTAACAGCTGAGAAGCAGGAAAAGCAAATAGTCCCAGCATACTGTTTTAACATGTGAATTTGCTTTCAATTTCAATCTCGGTTTCAGATTATTGTCTCCATTTTTCACACGATAAAAATATTACAACACATACAATTCTTTGTAAATGTTTAAGTTATTGGATATAACCATGGCTATGGCACCTCCACATCGATTAGTGATATAATTAACCACCATTTCATAACCTTTCGTTTTTTAAAGAAGGATTTTGGAACAAGTGAATCCTGGAGCCAAGTCTGGAAAAAGCCGATGATAGAACAGTCGGATTCAGTCTGTTTATTCATAATTTTAATCGGTCAAGGATTTTGTCGGCAACCTTCTGATATTGAAGAGTGATACAAAACGGATTGTTATGATAAGTTGAAGTTTTACCTAAGAACTGACTCTCAGTCAAATGTTCAGTAGATAATCGAGTAATTATTAGGTCATTATGTGATGGTGAAATTTTGGTTTCGCAGTTAAAGATAAAGTTGAGTTCTGGTCAAGCGATTGCACTGTGAAAGAAAAGGTGTGGAACGGGTTAGAAAAAATTGATCATGCAACATGTAAGTATTGGTGAGCACTGCAAGGTTCTGGAGTCATCAAAATCATAATAGATTCGGCCCAGTCTTGGTAAAGCAACAAGCACTGTACACAGAAAGATGTTTATTGGACTACACAAATTGTGTCGGGACTACTTACCTTGATTTCCTTATCTTTCTGTGCTCATTACTCAGCCAGTATACATTTCTACCTAAATTGTTTGGCAAATGACATTTATTTGTAATCTTGAACATTCAGTGTAAGTTTCGTTTGATTCTGTGATAATGTATTTCCTTTTTTTACCGGAACTCAATGTAGTTCGTAGGTGGTGGTTTCCGGTTTAGAATTAGAACTAGAAAAAGTATCAAAATGGTTAGGAGGTGATAGTATGGATTGAAAATCATCGTCTTTAAGTGGAAAAATA